TACGTACTACTCTCTCTCTCTCTCTCTCTCTCTCTCTCTCTCTCTCTCTCTCTCTCACACACACACACACACACACACACAGATGGGATGTCATGGGTGGATATCTAATATACAATACTTCCAAAATTTGTATAACAAAAATGTATGTGGTACAATGATGACAGAAAGATAAGTACATGCAAACAAAAAGTAAAAGACAAATGAAACACAAATCCACAACTATTTTTTTTTGTGAGAAGTTTACTTGAATTATTTGATATTCCTTTCTGAAGGAGCAGGTGACATCAGAAATCGTCCAATCGAGCAATGGGCTCAAAGCCAATCACGTTTAAATTACTCTCCTTATGTTTTGCTTGCATGAAATTGTATGTGGAACTAGCATCCCAGATGCCTAAGAAACAATGCTGCTTTATCCACCCTTTTTCTAGTGAATGCCAAAGAAACAAATTGTTGTTTCCACAGGTTCTGACAAGGTCTTACCATATTGAATATTCTCTTATAAGTTGCTTCCATCTAAAATATTGTGAAGAATAATTGTAATCAGCAGAGGCTCTCAAGGCAACCTTTCTAGAAAAACAACATTGCTTCCGTCTATAATCAAATATTGAACAACATTGACCAAGATGTGAGGGACCTCCATCAGCAGGGTCCAATATTTGTCCAAGATACCATGTGACATTCATATATGTTTTATAGTCCTACAGGCCGAGAAGCTTATTAACCACTGCATTATGCCTTACCTTGCAGAGACTGAGATTTATTTTGAAAAGCCCAACTCCTAAATCATAACATCTAGAAAGTAGTTCCCACAATGATTCTTAACCCAATGTGACAGGGAAATCAAATTAATATGATCGTATTGAAGTACTTCCAAAGCTTTCTCACTGAACTTTGGACTATTACAACAATGCTCTTGCCCACACATCCCACTCAAAATAGGATGTGCAAGAAACAAGAAAAACAAGATGGAAACAAGGGCATGTTCATTGTCCATACCTCATGCCCCTGTTATACCTTATGAAAAGCAGGTTTAGTTGTTATAATCCCATCGATGAGTTTTCTGGTCAGGTGATTTGAGAACTAAGACATGGACAGCCAAAATGTTAAAAGATTACAATATTGAAAAGCATTTGCTTTATTAAGTTATCTACTAATTACAGAGAAAAAAATTTCAATGTGCCATTTTGTTGAACAATGAAAATTGGAAAGAAGAGTGCCATTATCCCGTTTCATGTCACCTTTTGTGAACTGTAAAATAGACATTTCCTAGATTTACACTGCAGTTAGAATTTTACGCCAATTTAAATGAAAGCTCTGAAGGAATACACCTTGCAAATTGCCAACACTTCCATAACTTGTATCAGAGAACCTTCCAAGACTTATTAACATGGTGGTGCCCAAGACTCCATTCATCCACTGATGCAAGTTTATCCAGAAATACAATAGCAGCCAGGCATACTCATAACTGGGCCTACAATAACAATTGTAGTAAAAGTATAATCTACTCGAGAACCTTCACTTCCAACAACAGTATCAAATCTTCTGTTTTCTCAGGTTCATAGAGGCAGCGATACTTCTGAAGGAATACAACTTGCAAATTTCCAACACTTCCATAGCTTATACTAGTTTATTCAACACTGCCACACGTGTCTATAAAATAGAGATCCATTCGTGCCTACAAATCCCAAAAACAAATACAAGTCGTAACTGGCCCCTCTTCCAGCACTTGTATCAGAGAGCCTTCCAAGACTTATAAACATGGTGGTGCCCAAGACTCCATTCATCCATTGATTCAAGTTTATCCAGAAAAATAATAGCAGCCATGCATACTCATAACTGGGCTACAATAACAATTGTAGTAAAAGTACAATCTACTCGAGAACCTTCACTTCCAACAACAGTATCAAATCTTCTGTTTCCTCAGATTCATAGAGGCAGCAATACTTCTTCATCTCTCTGCTGTGTTTGTTTCTCCATCTCTTAAAGAGATGGAGCTTTCTTGCTTCTACAACAGGACTTGAGACATAACAACCTCTGCATCACATTAGTACTACAAACTGCAAAAGATGTACATCTGCAAATTGTATGTATAGGGGTACATTCGTAATCATCTGTAGTGCATAAAATTTTCAAAAAATGATAAAAAAAATTCTTACTGTGGCTGATAAAAAAACTGATAATGTCATGAACTGCACAAGTACATATACATACAAATAAAAGGCATAAGTCACAACCTATGGAAAAATTCAATATCCAAGATTACTCAAAATGTTTGACAAACTAACAGCTATAGCCATGTTCAACCGAAATATCATTATGCAGTCAAACAAAATTTCTGGTATTCAAGAACTGAATTACTAACCCGTTGTCATCTATAACAAGCACTTTCAATCCAGAAAAATCTGTTCGCACGTAACTCGTTGGGGCTGGAAGTAAATTTTGATGCTCATGATCATTTGTGTGATCTTTGCTTCCAAGTTTCACAATGAATATTGCAGTACACCCTTTGCCCACACCTTCACTTTCAAGCCATACATGTCCCTCCATAAGACTGACAAACCTGATCAAATTAAATCAAACTGTGAGACATTAGAACATTTCCATCCCTGCCATAATGGGCAAATATCTACCTAGAGTCCATATTGACATACATATATATTGCAAATTAAATCTACCATAGTTCAAAAGAAAGCTCGAAGAAAAATATTCATTATGTTGCTGTTGCAAAAAATTATCCATCAATATAGTCATTCTTTCATTATGTTATTCCCACATTATACACTAAGAAAACAATGATATGCACAAAACAAAACCATTCAGACTCAAATATTGAGTTGTAAGAAAGAATTGGCTATACCGTTTACATATAGCAAGTCCGAGTCCGGTCCCACCCTGATTTTTAGCAGCTTGCGTATGAGCAAATTTGTTAAATATCTTTGGAATATCTTGAGGGTTGATTCCTGTTCCTGTATCCTTTACCTGCAATGAAATTTTTATTACTGTTTTTCCCAAGTCTGTAATAAACATAGGGACTCGCAAAAGTGAATGTCAAAAACATTGCTAGGTTTTCTAAATGCACACAAGCTTTCATAGATCTACTGTCAACCTTGGAGATGACAATAGCCATTTTCAAGAGATTCAACCAGTATACACCAACCTGCACTCGTAAGTAAAAGTGAGCATCGCTTGGGACAGGGAAAAATTCAGGAGACCGGGCATCTCTCAGAGATTCTGCTTTTGCAATACTAGCTGTCACAGAAATGCTCCCCTCCTTTGAAAATTTTACAGCATTGCCCACTACATTTAGAATAATCTGCATAAGGCGCTGTTCATCACCAACAGCATATTCGGGCAAATCTGGCGTCAAATTCAATACCATTGACAATTTCTTCACAGATGCAATGGGCTTTATCAAATTTAGGACCTGCAAAATAAGGAGAAAAAGTTACAAACTATATCAGATTATTGCGATGAAGAATATTTGTGAGCTTTCATGGTAATCATCATCATCGGAGCCTTTTCCCAACTATTAAGGGTCGGCTACACAAATCCTGATCCATCATTCTATTCTACCAAGGGTTATACCCGACGTAAGTTCCCATATCTTTTCTCATAACTTTCAACCATATCTTTTTGGGTCTACTTTTTACCCTTTTTGAGCTTTCATGGCAATAAATAAATAAAAACAAAATATTAAACTCCCACCGTGTTATCTTATATGAACAATGACTTTGTTACCATTTCAAACCAAAAAAAAAGAAAACGCAATTAAAGATAACAACTCTGCCTTTTAAAACAAGTAGAATGTTCATGCAGCCAACCAAATACCTCTCGGAATACTGCATGAAGGTTGAACGTCCCAGAGTCAAGCTCAAGACTTCCATCCTCAAGCCTTGAAAGATCCAACACATCATTGATAAGTGTGGCTAACAAGTTACTACTCTTTAATATAGTCTCCACCATCAACCTCTGTTCAGAAGTCAATTCTGTTTCCTGAAGTAGTGAAGATAGAGCTATAATTGCATGCATTGGAGTTCTCATTTCATGGTTCATTACTGCCAAGAAATCATTGCGAGCACGTATAGCCATTTCAGCTTCTCTACGAGCTAGATCTAGGGCAACATTTTGTTCCATAAGCAGATCTCTTGCTCGCATGGACTCCTCAAGGATAGCGGCATGTGAAAGAGCAACAGCGACCTGGACAAAGAAAAATAACCATGGTGAACACAAAATTAATTTTCAGAAGGGATGGTGTAAGACTCTAAGCTAGCCAAGGGGATTATCACAATGATTACAGTAAAGATTAACCAATCTAACGGAAAGATCATCAACTTTTACTGAAAATAATCACTACTTTATACCCTAAAAAAATAAATAATTTAATAAATAAAGATAATCATCTCTACACAAGCAATAAATGAAAAAGGGGTGTTTACCATAACTTGTAGCTTTGAAATCAGTCAGTCATGCATTTCTCCCATACAGGGGAACAAATAATATTTGTACTCGCAACTTCATTCATCATATTAGTACAGAAAGTGATATTACAAATAATGGTAAAGATGGAACATACACACAATTAAAACCATGCCAATATGTGAAGCTTGTACCATTCTCTCTCTACATGAAATAATAAGCATGCAATGATTGGTGGTGATAACCCACCAACACTGAGGACCAATAATAAAATCAAACCAGGCTAAACAGCCAAAAGAGACTTCACTGAACATCTGCTAACATAAAAATTGATTCATGTTCTTTAGAAAAAAATCTCTTTCAGAAGCAGAAGGGAGAGAGATGTTTTGAATGCAACTAGTCCAACACAGACCTATTGCAGCTACAGGTAACATATTGCACAATCAGAATTATGAGCAAAGCACCCGTAGCGTAGTGGTGCGGACCCTTCCATTGGGTGCACCTAGGCAGGCATACATGATGTGTCCACCTAGGCTACACATTGGCCGCATCAAAGCAGGCCTATGCGACGGCATAATTCTGCCCTGCTCACATGTGGCAATAGAGCCCACAAGCTGTTCCAGTCCAATTTTATTTTATTTTTTATTCGAAGAGGATTAAATCGATCTAGTACGAAGTAGAGTTTTTTTATCACTTTGATTTTATGGGCAAAACTCCAATGGTTCTACTGAGTATAGTAATCTTTTTGTTTTTTTCACAAGTTTGTTTTGGTCATGAACTTTTGGTTTTTTGTACTTGCCAAATACAGAGTATTTCCCTTATTGGCTATTTGAAGTTGCTATTTTCTACTTTCTTTCATCAATATCATCATTCTGCTAGCTTTCTTGGTGCTTGGAGTCAATTTTTTTTTTTGAAACTGTGCTTAGAGTCAATATATTTGTTGGCGTTTTATTGAATTTAATAAATAGATTGGACCAAGTTTACATTAAATGTTAATTCATCATTATCTGAGCCTTATCCTAACTATTTGGGATCGGTTACATATATCTTGTTTCGCCATTCTACTCTATCAAGGGCCATACCCTCAGACAAACTATAAATCACCATATCTCTTCTAACTATTTCTATCCATGTCTAGGAAAGGGGCAGGGGTCGTGGTGATAGCATCCCCACACCAGTTACCACATCGTGGTATCCCTTCCTACCGCTAGCACCCCCAATTAACACCTTCAAAATGTAACTCCCTAATCTATTGAAAAAATGGGTAGGGGCCTGTCTTCCCCATTGAATTACCCAAAAAAAAAAAACTATTTCTATCCATGTCCTTTTGGGCCCTCCCCTTGCCCTTCTAGAGGCTTCCACTTGAACCAAATCCCCCCTCCTAACCGGTGATGTATTAGGTCTACGCTGCACATAAATAGACAATGTACATATTCAAGATATATTCTATATTAATATGTCGACCATCACACTAGCCACCTTTTTGTGTTATTCTTCAAATTCCTATTAAATTGTTTCATATCTATTGACGACACAGGAACTGATGCACACCCGCATTACAGCCTCATGCGGCGCATAATGCATTGGAACCCTCTATCGCCTCCAACCGCATCCAGCATTTGATAACATTGGGACAATGTATCCAACACATAATGGAACCCTAAATTGTTGAGGAAATCCAAAGATCACCTAAAATAATTCCCATCGACACACAAAAGAAAAAAATTGATCTAATTATATTTTTACATATTAATTTAGGTTGTGGTTAGCACAAGGTTGCAGCCTTAAACAATCAAAGTAACGTGCACCTCCAAATTTTATCATAAGACGTAACTTTGGTGTAAAAAAATTTTAGGATGCCCTGAGAATCTATTTTCACCTCTAGTTATAAACATTTAAACTCCAAAAATAGTTCAAATCAAGTGGATCTATAAACGTATGAAAATCTTGAAAATGGACAGTCCAGATAATATGTTACAAAAAGCATTATTTTTGGAACTCGAAATCTATTTTTTTCCCATACATCTCAATGTCGAGATGATCAATTAGAGGGTTTTCCAACATCAAAAGAGCCTTTTCCAATGGATTTTTGAGGTGCACCTTAATTATACAGTTTAAGATTGCAACCTCATATAAACTTTTTTCTTTATTAATTAAAATATTTCAAGATTTGGAAACTGAACCACACCAATCAATCCAACTATGCCGTAGTAATCAATGAACACTCTATCTAGCAGGAATTAAAGGAAAACAAATTGAAGTTCAAGGACATTTTGTAGGAAAAATTGTTACAAAGGCACAATCAAAAGTACTTCTACAAGAATTGAAGATCAAATCATATGATGGTTTATCAACCCACATTGAAAACAACAATTTCATAATCACACAAGTAAACTGGGAAGAGCTATCATCCATCCTTAAGTTTGAAGGGAAGTCTAATGTAGAAAGTCTACTTACATGTCGCACTCTAAATAGTTCCAGACTACATACCTATACCTAGAAACAATACCATCACTCAGTCTAAGTAATCAAAAGATTCTTTTGTGGCTTATGACTTCCTAACAAAGCCAGAATTTGAATATCCACAAAATGACAATAGCTGTCAGCTATTGGGAACAAACCACATAACTGAGACTTAAGAATGTGATGCAGTAATCAAGGCTCAACAAAGATTACTTCATAGCTATATCATTCGTTTCTTATATTGCCATGGTAACAACGTTATTCATCTTCATTTTGAATAATCATGATGCATACCACCATCATATCAAGAATAAAGCTGCTGATCTTTTGTAATATAAATGTCCTCATGTGCAGTAAATGAAAATGCACTCAAATATGCAGTAAAAGTTCCATTCAAAACAAACCATAGCAAATAATACACATTTTTATACAATTATTCAATAATTCATAGATAACTGGCTGCTTTTATAATATTTCTAAGACTACTGATGAGCAAATCAGGTTAGTCACCAGATTCACCACTGGAAAGATATATTAGAGAACATCATGAACATCCCATTCAGACATATAAAATGTAACCTATAAAGAACAAAGCACTATACCAATTTACAATAGTTTCAGCACTTTGGCAAGGTGTTTCGCTCGATCGAATGAACAATGTAGAAACACTTAATCAACTAGTGAACTAGATCAACCTCAGTCTTGAAAGTTTTAAACACATAGGAAATTCAAATTTTATAAACATCACCTTAGGGAAAGGTAGACAAAATCAAGCAGCAAAAATCTCCCATACCTGGTCAGCGACCACTTCAACGAGTTCCATTTCGTAGACATGCCATTGCCTTGCACTATCAGAGGGTAGCATCAAAACCATCAATGCATAGCGCTTTGTGGAGAGCTCTGGCCAATCATTAATTTGGAAATTTGAGAGATGCAAAAGAGGAACTCGAACAGCAACAACCTCTCCAGGTATATATTTTCCGGTAAGTGGCCGCACCCTTGCAACAGGGCAATTTGGAGAAATTTTCACAGCATGATTACTACTGAAGACTTGGTTGATTACAGGGAGTTGAATGGGCACAGAATGCCCAACTGGGTTTTGATGACGTAAAGTGTGAGAAAGCTGAAGCTCCAAACCAGTTCGTGTAGGCATCCACAGAGCACACTCCTCCAAAGCCAAGGTTCGACCCAACTCAACAAGAGTGGTTTTCAAAATCGTATGCCTATCAAGAGTGCTTCTTATTTCATGGGTCAACATTCTAACATGTCGACCAGTTTCTTCTTGAGTGCGTATAAGGCCCATCTCTCTGTCAAGCTCTGCGGCTTTGTTTTTTAAAAACAATTCACGGGTTTTAACACTTAAGAGATCGGGGATGATATGGACAAGCATGAGGGCGGTTGCGCATGATACAGCAGCAGTTAACACTTTCGAAACGGTCATCACAACTGCAACTGTTTTTGTGTGCATGGTAAAAGTCCATAGGTTTATAAGGTGAGTTGCTCCACAGAGAACAATAAATGCACCAAACTGCACAAGTACCCATCTATATGGAAAGACTGCAGATTTCTTGACGAAGTAAATCAGTTCCAGGGGGATAGAGAAGTAAGCAAGGGCAATGAAGAAATCCGAAATGTACTGATATTTCATTAAGAGCTCATCCGCTGGCCATTGCGGCTCAATGCAGTTGCAACTCTCCATCATATTGCAACTGCCTAACAGAGGAACCTTTACATTCCTGCAAGAACAAATGATGATACACGTCAGATTTTTTTTAGTTCTTGTTCTTCGTAATCAAGATTCGAGGAAGGAAGCACACTACAAACACATAATCTTCCCCTCTAAAAACAATTTTCGATGAAAAACTTCTATGATCTTAAAGTGTCTTGATACTCTCTAAGAGAATCTCCAATGAGATGTCAACAACCATTTTTTTTGGAGAAAAATATATGACAACAATTTATCTCCAGACATAAATCTTGGTTAGCTTGAACTTTACATGTCTTTAAACAGCTCCAGAAGAATGTCACAATTAACTGGTTTTGGATGATCACAAGAGCATGGAGTGCTTACTAGACGGAGTTTATACTAGGCTAATCTAGATCACAAAAGTTAACATACAATTGAAAAGTGGCAATGAAGCATTAAGAAAGGTTGGCATTGTAATGTGGGCAGTTATCTTTGGTCAATTTTTAAGCATTTTAGGTTGAGATTAATGAAGGGACCTCTGCAACTCTAACTAGATCTTCAGTGCCATGAGATGAATGTGCCAAGTGAATAAACGAGTAGTTTAGAATGTATTCAGACACTAGAGCATGGGCAAGGACAGTCATTAAAGCTCAACAACTCTAACTAGATCTACAAGGCAATGAGATGAACATGCCAAGTGAACTAAGGAGTAGTTTAGAATGTATTCGGATACTAGAGCATGGGCAAGGACAGTCAATAAGTGTCATCAAATGGTTGAATCTCAATACCTCCTGATTGAACTTTGCAAGGTAGATACACATTTACAGATGAAGCTATGCATAGAAGACATCATATGAAAATTTAAAGAAGCAAGTTTTTCTTGAAGCAATTTAGGTTGAGACTAGTGAAGTGAGCACAAAAACCCTAGTGGGACAATGAGATGACTGTGCCAATTGAACTGAGGAGCAGTTTGGAATTATTCGGATACTCAGGCATGGGTTAGGACACTCGTTAAATGTCATCAAATGGTTGGATTTAAAGACCTTCTGACTAAATATTTTATCGTAGATACACATTTAGAGACCGATCCATAATTATACAAACATTTGGTAGATGGCCGACAGCTCAGGTAACTTGGAGATAATAGGGAAGGTACAAGTGTTTGGATTTCAATCCAGCATAAGAGATCCATATTTTATTAGTCTCTATTATTTTTTTGGTACTTTTTGAAATATTTTTGGGCAGGTACAGATTATGTTTGTATCAGGAAATCCATAATTCCAATTGTTTCCTGTTCTTCAGTACAATTTTATCACTTATCAAGAATGTCAGGTACTTCCAATGGAGTATCTCTTTACTTTTCCCAGATTTTAATGATCATTCCAATTTTCTTTGACAAATCACAGTCTCTTCCAATATTATTGTCTTTATGCACTTTACTGGTTCTAATGATAAGTTATTCCCAAAAATCCGTTGAAAGCCCCTAGGTAATTGTTAATAAATCCTTACCTAACGACGTTCAAACATTACTTGAACCCAACCAAACTTATCTCCTAAATTCAGCAAGTTAAAAATGGAATTCGGGAAATAAAGAAAAGGTGGCATATAACGGAATATCTAGTTTTTATTATGAGAAGCATAAAACACCAAAGAAGTTATTATTAACTGGATATTACAAGAAATTAATATATGATAAATAGACTGGAGATCCAGAAAACATAATGAACTAATGGCCGCAATATCTTCCCAAATCAGAAAACAAGCTATTTCAAAATGGCCAAAACAGCTCGAGCATCCAGATTATAAAAGCCATCCCAAATTACATTTCTCTTGCATTCTGTATAATATGTAAACACAATTGAACCTGAACTTGAACCTCAATAAAGCATAAAAAAGAGAGAGGAAAACATAAAAAATAGTGCAGTATTATCCTCTCCAGTTCCATTCATCCAATCATTTCCCAAAAAACCAAAGCATTTCCTATACTTTCTCGACATTTTATGCATGCCGATACCATATTCAATCATCATTTCCATCAATACAAAAGTTCTGTTTTTGGGTAAGTATCGGCATAAGAGTCTGTCTCGGAAAAAAAAACTAGCTAAGAAAGTCATAAATTTACAAAAAAACAAAACAAAAAAAAGATGGAAATTTGCAAGAGGAATTTACCTCTGATGAAGTAGTAAATAGTCCCAACCTTGAAATCAATGGATATGGTGTCTCTGATCAGCTTTATCAAACCCTGAGCACGAATAATATCAACAATAAATTTACCAAAAATTGGCGACTGATAACATGAATTCGAATTAAGTAGAAATAAATTGAGGAGGAACGAATAAATAGATATTTCACCGAATATACATCGTGCGGCGAGACAGAAACCAAAATGGAGGTGGAAAATTTGAAAAAAAAACCGAACAATAATCGGATGTTAGGGACCTGACCTAACAAGCTTCACAAAGAGCAACACACTTCGCCGCGCAGAGAGAGAGAGAGAGAGAGTATTTCCCTTAACATTGGGAGTTAACTGAGATAGTTAGAGAGAGAGTGAGAGGTGATCCAGGGCGCCGAGCAGAGATCGAAAGAGAGAGAGAGAGAGAGAGAGATGATTTGGGGGAGAGAGGGAGATGATTCAGGGAGAGAGAGAGAGAGAGAGAGGTGATTTAGGGCACTCGATCGAGCGAGAGGGAGAGAATATGGCGAATTCAGTGGATATTGGGGGAAGTACCTGGCGAGGGTCGAGAGAGAGAGAGAGAGAGAGAGAGAATTCACAGTGGATTTTGGGGGGAAGTACCTGGCGAGGGTCGAGAGAGAGAGGGAATTCACAGTGGATTTTGGGGGGAAGTACCTGGCGAGCTTTGCGTTTAGTCCTTAGAGAGAGAAAGGACTCCTAGAGAGAGAAAGGACTCCCTTGATTTCCGACACAGGGAGAGAGTGGGCCACTGAACCTGGGAGCGAGAAACTCCCCCTTATTTTATAGTGTAAATCTAGAGAGAGACTCGTGTTTAGAGAGAAAGTTCCTCATCAGAGACCAAGAGATCTCTCACTTATTTCGTAGTGTAGAGAGAGATACTCTACTGTAGAGAGAGAGAGAGAGTCAGATAAAGTTATCGTTCCACAGTTAGATGTAGAGAGAGAGAGTCAGATAAAGTTATCATTCCACAGTTAGATGTAGAGAGAGAAAGCCCTTATTCCATAGTAAGAGAGAAAGAAAGTCCTTATTCTATGGTCCATGTCTTATTCTATAGTCCATGTAGAGAGAGAAAGTCCCTTATTCCATACTAAGAGAGTCCTCATTTTAGAGAGAGGACTCAACCGTGCTGATGCATAAGGGTTTTATAGCTCATCGAGTCACGTGGGAGTCAACAGAAGTTTGGTAAACCATAAATTCACGCGTGTCATCCACACTGTAGTTTCCAATTAGAGGTAAGGGCCCCTTAAATCTAAGAGTTCTACCCTGTTCTGTTCTTCTCTGCTATGGAGAATCGCACCTCTAACTTGGGGAAGTTTTGCTAAATTTAGGGACGCTGTAACTAGGGGAAATATCTGGAAGTTTTTCTGAACAATAATCTCTTGGAGATGCTGCTAAATTTGGAGATGACTTCTCAACTCTCTTTGCCATATGTATAGAAATAAGAGAGAGGCCTCCATTTTGGAGGAGGTTCGGTGAGCCTTTTTAAGGTTGGTGTTTGGGGATAGTCCTAAAGTCGCTGGACCAACAATTTCAAAGAAAAAACAAAAACAAAAACAAGCGAGAAAGAGAATAGCAAGTGATTTAAAAAATATCGAGTCATTATAGAATCGCTTAGTCCAACTTGGAAGTAGGTCACACCATGCCATTATGTAGAAAATTGTCTGGGTTTAGAAGTCAACCGGGCATTTTGCTACAGTAAAAATGCGAATTCACTGATCTGGTTTGGTTTTTCGTCGGTTCACTATTTTTTTTTGTACAAATGCGAATTCATTGATCTGGTTTGGTTTTTCGTCGGTTCACTATTTTCTTTCGTACAGTAAAACGGAGATTCGATATGCTAATTCACTAATCCATACTAGTTTTTTGCTTGGTCGCCGACACTGGTCTGAGCACATATATAGCAGTAAATCTTATATGCAACAAAAGAGACGAGTGACTTTAACCCAAACACGCTCCCTTTAAAAAATCATTTTCATGAGTTATTTTTTTCATTATAACTTCCATAGTGTCAATAAGACGTGCATGAACTAAGAACCCCGAAAAAATTCACACAACACATGATATGATTGGTTGGCAAAGTCCTATAGATTTAATGTATATACAGTATGAATATCAATTACACAAACATAAAAATGTGGGATCTTGTTGAGAGTCATCGCTAATTCTCCCATACGTGGGAGGGGATGGGCCGATTTAGACTATCACTAATTAGGAAAAATTGGAGGTATTTAGATAAGGAAAAAGTTTATATAAGGATGCAACTTTATAATGTTGAACTACGGATGCATCTCAAAAATTTATTGGAAAAGATAGTTTTAATATTGAAAAACCCTTTGATTTTAACTATTTTTAAAATTTTATAAGTAGATATAAAAATAGATTTTGAGATAATCCTAAGAACATTTTACATAAAAATTATATATCACGATAAAATTTGAAAGTGCACCTTACCTCTACAGCTACGGATCCATCCGTATGCCAACTGCACCCTTCAGATAAATTCAATCAGGAAATAATAATTAGATATTCTTAACTTTCTATATTGAGTAAGCTCTCACGTGAAGCCAAGTGGGTGTGTCACGTTCTTGATTCAAAAAGGGCAATGGAAATAGGATAGACGTTCCCTCTCTCTCTAGCCGGTCACTGATTGTCGCCCATGTGTTGGTGGTGGGTTGAGGCCAGTGTTGTCCTATTTGCTTCGCTTTGGCCGAAGAGGTCAAAGCCTTCGGATTTTAGATCTAGATCGAAGCAAAGCAAAGCTTAGTATTGTCGTTTCGGTCATATTCGGGCCGCTTCGATAAGATTCGGGTCTGCTTCGGCCTAAGCAAAAAAATATCTATATAAAAATATATTTTTTAGATTTTTTATTATTATTATTTATATATTTTATATACAAATAACTAATTTTTTTACATTAAATTTTTTTTTTAAAAAAAATGTGAAGCCTTCCTCCGAATCAACCAAATCATTCTATTACTTTATTTTTCTCACCAAACCGAAGAAGATTCCGAAGCTAATCTAACAACATTGGTTGAAGCCTTGGACAGAGCGGCGTGTAGAGAACAACACAGTAGCATCCGTAAAGCACAAATCCGCGGTGGAGTTAATTGTGCTTGTTAGTTGATTTTGTGTCATGTGCAGTGTCCTTTCCCTCCACAACTCAACATATCTCTCTTTCTTACAATCAATGGGATTGTATACTATGAAACCATATATTTTTTGTACATGAATATCGCAATCACTTTTAGCCATGATGTGAAATCTGATTGTGTGTAGCAACATTTGAGAAAATTAATTTTTAGCCTTTGTGTCTAAATAATTGCACATCTTCAACCACTTAAATTCAAATCCAACGGTCAATGACAATTGTGACCTTCTTGTATCAAAAGTAAATGATCACGTCATACAATACCTAATTTCACTTCATACTTTTTAGAGGTCATGAAATTAAACCAGAACCTTGCCATAAAATGCAAAAATTTCAAACTACTGATCATAACTATGCGTCGACATAATCTTCATTCTAAACTGGCACATTATGTATATAGGTCCAAGGATTGCATTTTGGGAAACCTTTAACGCCCACCACATGTAAAATACCTCTGACTGAGGTTTACAGTTATTGATTTGAATGAATAGTTAAAATAGCTTTAGTCATAGTATCACACCGAATACTCGTTTTTTTTTTATTCAAATCATCTTGCATGCCCAATCCTTGCAGGAGTGCATAAAAAAACAAATTTAAAACATAAAATTTTAGTAACATAATATTAGCCAAAACCACCCTCAAAGTTGAAAGGTTCTTTTGGTTAATTTTAATCAAAAATACTTTTTCCTTGTTTTTATTAGGGGTGCCCTATGTCCTAGATATCATATCAAAATAATATGAAAAAAAAAAAAAAACCCTCAAAAACCAAGTACCACGAGTGATCTAATTAAGATGAGACACTTAGAGGATGACACTTCACGTTATGACTTAAACCATACTGGCCATCCTTGACATCCCTTCAGATTTGAAGAGTTGGGAATTACAATTACATATCTTTTATGGGTGCAGTTTGTATAGAACTGAGGCTCTAAACGATCAAAGTAAAGCATACCTTCAAATAGAGTCGAGAAATATGGTTTCAATACTGAAAATCTTTGTGATCGCCTAAAAATATATTTTCATCTTTAATTATAAAATTTAAAGCTTTAAAAATAATGTAGATCAAGAAAATCTATGAAAACTTGAAAAATCTTGAATATTTGACGGTCAAATAAGATCCACTATTTTCAAAACTTGAAATCCATTTTTGAGCATCAAAACAACCTCTTCTAGTGAAATTTTTTAGGTAGACTCTAATTTGATTGTTTAGAGCCTCGGCTCTATACAAACTTTTTCCATCTTTTATGCGTGGGCACATGTAAAAATTTCCCTTACATCAAAATTCATCTAGAAAGTCTAGACTGAGCCAAAAATACGTAGAGAGAGACCATCGAATAGTACATATGGTGTGCACTTGTGAATTTTAAGAATTAGACTTGATTACTTAGCCGTTGACATTAACAACACTACATTTTAATATCAATTTTTAACATTGAGACACACAAAAAGAGAAAAAAAAAAAAAAACTTGTTGGATTTCGAGAGAGAGAGAATATGGTGTGTACTTGGCGGATGTGATGAGAGGGAGGGATATTAACATTCAAAGAGAGAGAGATGAGAGAGAGATGCATGTGTTATATGGATGGTGGTTCCAGAACAAATCACATAAAGTAAGAGTGAGGGACCACTAAAGGAACCATGTTGGAAAATTATATTTTTTTTCTTGTTGGGAAAAAGATTATCGAACCTTACCATTATTGGCCATTGGAGTTTGAAAATATTATTGACATTACCATTATTGGCCATTGGAGTTTGCATATTACTGGTGCACCCGATCACCTACCCTAAGATTAGTGGAGACCTAATTAAAATAAAAGCGTTACTCTTTCTAGAAGATATACTTTTAAAAAATATCTGGGAAACCCGGCTAAATTTAAAGAACTTCCCCAAAATGGAATGGTTATCAATTTCACAACATTAATGCTTCGGACGTGCAAGCAATTTAGGACAGGTTCTCTAAAGTGGTACGAATAATTTAAGACAGGGCCATCTTCCCTTTCGCCAAAGGGTGTGGTTTGTATAAGGCCAAGGCCCTAAACAATCAAAGTAGGGCACACCTTTAAATAGTCGTGAAGTATATGTTTCAGTATTAGAAATCTTTATAATGGCCTGAAAATTTATTTTCATATGTAATTATAAAATTTAAAAGTTAAAAAAAAATGCAGATCGAGCAAATCTATGAACACTTGAAAATCTTAAAAATTGACGATCTAGATAATACATTACAATATACACTATTCCCGAGGCTTAGAACTTTATTTTTTCATGTCCATACAACTTGAGGTCGCGATGATTGAATTAAGGGTCTTTCAACATCAAAACAACTTTTCTAATGAGTTTTTCAGATGCGCCTTAATTTGATTGTTTAGGGCCTCACCTCATATAAATTTGTCCCTACCCAAAAATCTCACTCCTCTTGTTTAGGGCCTCACCCTTATATAAACTTTCAGCCATAAATTTATTTCTTCTTTGGGTGATAAGAATGGATAGACCTAATCATACACCGCATAGGCCATTTGTGGATAGGGGTGTTAACGAGCCGAGCTGGCCTACAGAGGATTTCAAGATAGGCCAAGTTATTGCTAGGTTTGGTCTGGGCTTTGGTATGCCTTGTGTAATTCCAGGTCAGACCGGTTTTTTGGGTTTGGGTTGGGTTCACGCCTCATATGCAATAATTCGAATCGGGTCGGGCCAACCTTACATGTTCTTCAGTTGGATTTGAGCCTGGTTGTGCTCGGCTTGTAAACAGTCCTAGCTGTGCCTATACA